CAGAGATTGAATAAAAATTCCAATTATATAGAGTGTCCAGAAAGTCATTAAGCAAGGAAAAATTTGAATATCTTCACCGCGTTTCGATCAAATGAGCTGATTTTTTTGTGAGGGTAGGACAGTGTCAAGCTTTCATTCATCAATGAACAGTCTATTTATACATATGAAATCAGCAAACTTTTGTTCATTATACTACTAAACAACGCAGACGTTTTTCAGTCATAGTTATAGATCGCTATTATAGGATATTATTTTATATATTTTGTCAAACAGTATAACTAACGTATATATACTTGTATGTTAGTTTGTTTACCGTGTGTTTCAAAAGAAAAAAAAGAAACTGAGACAAACATTAAACTTAGTAAGTAATTTAGTTCTTAGCACAAAGTCACATAGCAGAACTATCTACGAATGGAAAATAAATCTTCATCAAAGCTCTTTACTGGTATAGTAGACAAAAATTTGCTACTTTTATGAGTATGAATGGACTGTTCATTTATGAATAAAAGCTTGACACTGTCCTCCACCCTCACAAAAAATCAGCTCATGCGGTTGAAGTGCAGTCAAGATATTCAAATTTTTCTTTGTTTAATGACTTTTTGGACACCCTGTATTTTTAAAAGCACAAAAAATGTAATATTGTTTCGCGTATGATCGATAACTATTTTGAATTCTATGGAAAGAATCTTTGATATAATAACTTGAATAATATCTATTTTTAGAATGCCAACACTAGCCCTTATAATGCAAACCCGAATTTGATTCATTGAGTATGTTGGCAAAGTACATTGTGTATAAAAAAGTTTTCAGAACAAAACAATACAGAGAGATCATCTAAGAAGGCTGAGGCTTTCAATGCATTATAACGCTGGACAAGATTCGTTCATTCTTTTCCGATTGACTGCTTAAAGTTAGATTATCCGAGATAGTTAAAATATAGGTATAGTGAACAACTATTCCAGAAGCCCACACCTTTCTATTGACTCCTTTGTAAAATATTTCAGATATAGTTAGATCTGTTAGATCATTGCAACAGCCCTCTATCGGACTCTTTCTATTGAGTTTTAAAACGTGAGACAATATTATTTCAAAACATGCTAATATACATTCAGCAAACGTTCATTAGTCGTGTTTGTTCCAAAGTTTAATGGCGAGTGTAGGTTTAATTCACGAGTTGTCTCTTAACGGCACAATATACACGAAAACTCGTATTCAAAGATTAAGAAAATTGTTAAATCTAAGCTGTATGCTGGATCGACCATGTTTCTTTATGTCATAAAAAGAGCAATGGATACACTAGTGCTCATATTTTTCTTTGCTGTTTATACCATACTAGAATGGCGAAAGATATAAGCCACATTTGATTTATTTCATAGTTGAAAACAACAATTTTGCAAGAAAATTCCTGTGGATAAGATCAGAGAATACTTAAAATGGGGATGCATGTTTTTTGAAATTGCGAATACCTCTAAACTCAATAATTGAAAACCAACAGTCAAGTGATTTTTCTTTTAATACTGTGTTGTTGAAACATTCAGACACATTTTCTGAAGTTGAAAGTTCGAAGTTGCTTTTTAACGACTATTGTCAGATCAATCTATTTCTATGAACCAGACACTGGTTAAACTCTGAGTTAAAATGCGTCGCATATATGTGTTGCGAGTTATAGTGTCGCAGGATCAATGACGAAAATGTGTCGCAACAGAAAGTGTCACTAATAAATTTGTCGCATTCTGTGTGACGACTGTTGATTCACTTTTTTCTTTTGCACATTAGGCACTTTATAGAGAACTCAATTGAACATAGGAAAATAATGTATTTTCATTTAAATGTCTTTTAGACTATTTCTCGATTATTAAGTAGTCAAAAGCATGTCTATCTCGATCATCGCTCGATGTAGGACTATCCTGAAGTGATCTGGTGCAAAACCAGGCCGACTCGAGGCCGGGCAGATCCTAAGATCTGACCTGCTTGAGTTTTCAGAAATAGAACTATCCAATAAAATAAAATCCGAAAAAACTTTATGATTTTTTTGATAAAAAAAAATAAAAAATGTGCTAGCTAGTGGATTCAAACTCGTTTTCAGAATGTGTCGCAAATCATGACACATGCGACACTTTTTAACTTAGTGTGAGAAGCTCTCATGTAAAACATGACTGAGAGAAGATCCTGAGACGACAATAATTAAATACATATATAGTCTGGTGATATGCAAGGTGAAAAGTAGAGTTCAGCATTCATTTCAGTCTTCTGCATTTTCATGTTGTATTCGGACCAATTATGACAGGTGATGCAAAAGTTCTTGGGAAAAATGCAAGATTGTTACACTCGAATAGATAGATATCAAAAATGCTGCGTTTTTTATAGACAAAGTATAATACATATTTTACAAGCATATGCTTGTTAGACTTGTTTCATAAACTAATAGCAATAGTCACTTGGTTTTTCGTAAACTCTTAAAGAGCAGTCTGTTAATATTGCTTTAGACTAAAAAGTGGATTATACGCGTGGAGCTTCTTCTTCACTCGCTTCCAATCCATATTCGCATTCTAAAAAAGTTTATTTTTTGTTCATTTTACAAAGAAATTTGAGTATGACTTAGATTACATCATCATATCAAGTGGATTTGATGCTTGGTAATTCATCAAGTCTAACATCTATAGAATAGGTTAGATTTATACTCATCTTTCGGTAACATAGAATCAGGTCAAAAATTAAGATGAGCCGGATTTATCCTTTAAAAAGACAGCCACACACAATCCTGAAAGTTTTACACGAGTGAGTAGTGATCGAGCTCTTCTTATACACAAAGTTTTAATTGGTTATTTTTTATTGTTCGATAGAAGTAAAGCTCAGAAATTCGTAAAAAAGTGCTCATTTTGAAGTTACCATATATAGAAGAGATTGATCCAAAATGTCAAAATGGCATTTTTTTCATAATAGAATTTAAAAAACTATCATTACATTCCTCAAAATTAAAAATGAGAACTGAACAACATAGACCATTCATGAATCGACTTTTTCTTGGCATGTTGTATCTAATGTTGAGTACTGTTTATGATTGGTACTATACGAAACTGAGAAGAAAAACAGCATCACATTTGTCTTCATCTAAAAGTGTAGTCGGTGTCCAGAAATGAATAAAGTGAGAATCTCAAAGTTTGATAAACTCTGGTAAGCAAGCATTGCCTTATGGAAATGACCCTTAGCGCACATTATCTAGAATGATAACAATAGAGAGAGAGAGAGAGGATTGAAAGTTTTTTTTTCTATTCAATGTTATTGGATGTTCGTAAATTCATTTTTTTACTATGTCGATTATCTTCAAGCAAATTTCTTAAATAATGACTCAGTTTTTACAAAAATTTTCTGAGAAACGACTACCTATTTTAAACATTCACTTCATATTGTAGAATCTGACGAAATGACACAAATGTTCTTCTCAAATTGGATGCCAGACAAGGATCAGAGCACCACAGTCATCAATACTGATGAGATTGCTCGAAAAGTAATCGTATTTCAATTACTTATCATATATATATAAATTAATCAAATTGAACGAAATTCTAGTTAGAAGCAGCTTATGGTATCAAATCAGGCTCGATTTATATCAGCACGATTGTGATCACTAATGCTAACTCAAATGTCGATGTTGATCGTCGTCGCCCTCAGCCAGACATGAAAGAAAATGAAATGTACATCTTTATTTTGCGTGATTTTTTTAATAGGGTATCTATTCTTAATATTTATCTAACTCTGTTTCAGACGTAGATGTGATCAATTGGGATCTGTTGGCTCACTTGTGGAAATAACGATGTATATAGTGTATCCGGCAAAGTGTGGTGTATCTATGGCTTGCAAAAAGGAATTGGTTGATGTTATCCAAGCTCTTATTGAGGCACATATTTCAAGTATTTCGCTGAAGTTCAAATTTGATGACGAAAACTTCAGTGAACTTGCGTTGATCAGATGTAAGACAACCACTGATTCATCATTAAACACTTTATTACGATTACGACGCGATGATAAAAGCAAAAACAGACGTCATACTACAACTAAACGCCCTGCAGCAACAAAATGCGCTAGAACAACAAAACGCACTACAACAACAACTAAACGCCCTACAGCAACAAAATGCGCTACAACAACAAAACGCGCTACAACAACAACTACACGCCGTACAACAACAAAACGCGTTACAACAACAACAAAATACGCTACAACAACAAAACGTGCTACAACATTAGGCACTACAGCACCAGGTAAACAGCTTTATGTTTCATAACTTTTTGTATGTATTGGCACTAAGAGTTTCGCTACTCAGTTTTGAGAACTTAAATTAGTGGCGAAAGTCAAAGAAATTGAGTGCCCTACAATTTTGTTCTGGAATAAAGTTCAAATCTATAGTTCGATCAACAAGGTAAACCTAATATTAAAAAATATGAAATGTCTCTACCTCCGCTAATTTCGTAAATCAAGAAATCGAAATGTGCACCTGTTCCGGCATAATAGAAATGTCTCGGCGGTACGCCGTGTATCATTTAAAAGACCTTTATGGAATAGCATGGGACGTCACTCTCAACTTGCTAGCACTTCAATAAACATTAGTTGCCATGGGCAATGACTAAACTGTTTTAGTAAACGCCTCTTTTTGCATTAAATTTGAATAGAAATAAAAATGTCAACTTACGTTAGTCGCTCAGGTAAAAACTTTTATTTTATATTCATTGATTATTTTTAACTATACGTTTCTTCTAAGAAAATCAATTTAATGTGCATAAACGAAACTAAGTACTTTGAATCAGAACACGTATCAGCCACTGTCTTTTCAAAAACAAGGGACCTTGCAACTTTATGTATAGCGATTCTATTTTCATTTTAAAGAAGTCTAACTTTTTATGAAAGATTCATGCTTTTCTTAACTTTATATGTGATCTCGAATGGAGATCGCTTGAAGTCTTGGTTTTGAAGATATTTCAGTTGTTACAGAAGAGTGCAGTTGTAAAGTTACTTTGTCTCTAAGCATGAGTTTTCAAGACCAAATTCAACGCATTGTTCGTTCTACATTTTAGGTTTCAGACACATCTTGATTAGAGATATAAATCTGAAGGATTCTAATATCGTTACTTCCATTCCTGACTTTCTTAGCTTTTACCAGTGATAAAAGCTTAAAGAATAGCTTCATTTTAGCAACCCATACTGCTTGTCTCAAGCCTGCTCAGATTGGTTCGACAAGTACAGAATTTGACCGTGGCAGTTGTCCAGCATCTCCAGACGGATATCTTTTTGGTTGGCATCTTGTTCTTCCGGGCATAAGAACATACTTCATTTCGATCAATTGTACCTTCAAGCTAGCGGGCACGATTACTAATATGATTCAATTTCCAACTAATAAACATGCTTATGTGTTTACACCAACAGCAGATACCATCCTTGGTTGTTGTGCAGTTGTTGGCGGTGGACCTGACACAGAGTTTGTTTTGAGCCATGTGTGCGTCCCACCAGGTAAGAAGATTCTTCATGATTTAAGATGCTCAAGAAACTAGCTCACCGTATTGTTCATATTCAAAGATCGATGTACCAGATTAACTTTTGCCACTCACTTATTTAAATATACTGAGATATCACTTTGGAGAACCGAAGTGTGAATTTGATAATCTTTAATGACTAAAAATGGGACAAATTCATCATTGATGACTTACATTACCTAGGAAAACTCAGTAAAAACTATTTAGTAAGCATCGAGCCTGTTACTAAATAAATGTGTGATTTAATATAGCAGTGTGCAAACCAAAGACGCCCTTCTTCTAAAAAATTACTTTTCCAATCGAATAGTTAAGCATTTAAACATTGGAAAGGCTCAAATGCTGAAGTATTCAATACATGTCTTCTCATTTGCGAACATAAACTTGAAAGTCAGAAACCTTTAAAATCAATGTCGTTTCTTTTTTCAATTTAAATTATTCATACAAAATACAATCTTAGGCCTCAAAATTTCTTTGTTTAAATTCCTCAACAATAACTGTTTAGGCCCCTGTGCCATTAACAATGGCGGCTGTGATCCAAATGCAATATGCATTTACGACTTTCCTAATGATACTGTACAATGTGTCTGCAAACCTGGCTACACAGAAACTCGTTCCGAAGCAACAGTAAACTGTACAGGTATCCTATATCCTTCATTCTCAAAACTAAAGCCAACCAATGTAGCATATTACAGATAGCTGCAAGTTCAACAATGGCGAATGCGATCCCAATGCGACTTGTTCACATAATAGTGCTAACAGTGGAATCATATGCACATGCAATACTGGCTTCGTCGATGTTGACCCTGGACCAGCAGTTCGATGCCAAGGTTCGCATGTATTTTCATTATTCCATTTCAATTACACCTACTCTGCTGACGATTTTAGATAGCTGTACTGTTCTTAATGGTGGATGCGATCCAAATGCAACTTGTTCACACAATGATGCTAACAATGCAGTCATA